CAGTTAGTTACGCGTTACGCATAATTTTCCGCGTGCGTTCACGACGACGCTACGAGAATTTCACACAGTCTAAGATACCGTGACAAAAATTTTCAAAAACTTTTTAAAGCTTGATATTTCAGTATATTGAAGTTCTAAGTGTATAAGTTACTTAGTACCCAGTGCGGAGGTAAGGTGCTGGAACACCTGATGGCTGTGGGGCAATGTAAATCGTAACACATATTAAACGTGTGCTTTTGAAAAAGCTCTTGTACATTTTTATTACGAGCTCTCCTTCTGTAAACTGGACTCTTTAGACGCAATTTGAGCAATCCGCGAAGCTGCTTCTCAGATGTCTAAACTATTGCTAAAATGAGAGTCCTCCACGTTTTATGAAAATTAGTACCTAACAGCCCGTGTTGTTACACGTCGCGTGCTATATGTAGGTAGCACACTAGCTAGACCCTATTCCAAATATCTCTACTGACATTTGCCCATTGGTAGGCGCCTAGTAGGGACTTCCACTCCTCTAAATAAATTTTGGTCACAGACACCCGAAAACAGGTCAATGAAGAAGTATTTAAAAAAAACTTGAGATACGTTCTTGATTTCTCCATGACAATCTTTCCGGTTTTCTTTCAAGTTTAAAAGTAAATTAGTTTTCAACCTCAATAAACAACTCATATTCTATTTGTAATTTTTCGTATTTGTATTGATAGCAAGTTTCAAACTTTTCAAATTTCAGTTTTTTAATATTTTAGTTAAAAGGAAATGACAGTCTGTGGTCCATTCGCTTCCTGCAAAAATCAACTTTTGCTAGAGTCGCCATCTAGTGGAGGTGCTTTTTAGTGCTTTCGTTTTTTTTAAATACTTCTTCATTGCGACTCGTCGTATAAACTTGTGGCTAAGAGTGAATTCCTACAAATGAAAATTATAGACACATTATAAACTCAATAAACACAATAGTTGTTTATCAAAATTATATAGGTAGACACAAAAGACATGAAAATGTGGCGTCACAACTTTATTAGCGTTGTGGGCATGTTCATAATGTCCATATAGATGAATCCGCCATTGAGCTAATGGGTAGGTACTGTGGTCTATCAATGTAATTTGAAAATGAATTTAAATCGCATGCCAAGGTATAGGTATAGTGACTTTTTACAGTCGAAATCGCTTTTGGAATGAATGATGTTTTAAATGATCAATAAACATAACCTAATTAAAACTTAACTATCGCAACGATGTTTTGATGGGTTTGACATCAAAAGATTGTAGTTCTCTACTCTTTCGTTTGACATTTCTCAATAGCTTAATATGCTTGAACATTTATCGCTTTGTTTAGACAATTTCTTAATTAAAAATATCGTTCATTCAATATCTAAAATTCAAATAAAGGTCGCAAATCACATGTCAAATAGCGCGTGAATTTCGTGAATATCTTTCAAATTTCAAATTGAAAGGGAAAAAGATAGATTTTGGAGTTAGAGTCAGCCTTCGATAACATATTTCTTGAATTTGATAGGAAACTATGATATGATTAAAATAAATAGTTTAATTACAAATATGTATATACTTCTGAAAAAATACATTTTCAAGTTTCATTATTTATTCTTAATAAAAAAACAAACAAAATTTATTTGATTTTGTTAAAAATATTTCATGAACATTATAAAAAAAAACTACACACACCACATACTTACCTACTTCAATTTTGACTTTATAAGTAGACCTACATTTTCACGGGTAATTATATTAGGGACCATTTTAAAGAAATATTCTAAAAAAATATTATTATTAATACATTTCCTGATTTACTGTCTTTAACCAGCTAACAACAATTGCGACCATTTTGTTTTTTTAAGAATTACAGGAATATATAATAGGAATTACAGTATCTTCTTTATATTACATAAACAGTCCAATATTGGGCAGCTAATACTTTTTTCTTAGCAATAAGTTTGTATCATGAAATATTTACAGTCAAACATGTTGCGAACTATTCAGGCTCTGTACTCTTAAAATCTACATTCGATATCTCGAGAAATATATTGCGGCCTATCCTGCTTTATATCACATATTTTAATACCGTAGAGTGAGACAGGGCACGATGAAGCTCACGATATTATATCAAAGGTTGATTTTTTGAGTACCTACGTTCACTGTTTTCATAGTAAAACAACACGTTACAACTAATAATTATGACTAAGTATAGAACCGTGAGATTAGCTGACGAAACATTACAAAATAATTAATTGTTCATTTGATTTTTTGTATATGTTCCATTATTGCAAAGCTATCGATTAATAAAACAGGGTATTATGTTATTTATGCCCTTTTGTGGAATTATAAATACGCATAGCCGCTCAATTTTCTCTGTATTATTCAATAATAAGTTATGTTCCAGGATTAGAGATCGTAACTACCCACTAACTTCTTTGTCGTTATGTTTATTTTTCACTCCAGCGGTTATATTGTTACTAGCTTTTGTTATTTTTTAACACATTCCTTGTGCTCTGTTATTATCCTCTCTTCTTAATTTTTCTCTCAATATTTGCTTGTTTCTCTTTCTCTTCCAGAGCTTTAAGATAATCCATATAAGCACATTTTATTAGAAGCGGTACTTTCACGACCCCTGAAAAATGAACTATTCTGTGAAAATTATAATTCATAATAAAAGAAAAACCTGCCAAGTGTGAGACGGACTCACAGACGAAGTGTTGCGTACAAAAACTACAGTGTGGTAGCGTAGATTATCTACGCAAAAAATGACGTTTGTTCTAAGGGAGCTTCCCTAAATAAAATCGAAGATGTGTTTATAAACTCCTAACCCACTAAACAGAGTCGACTTGGTTGACATTAGTAATTACAAATAGTACGGAAGTTCGTCATTGTCAAAGTTAAAATCATGAAATTGTAGTCAGGTTTTTACACGATATAATTAATAAAAATTAGTTTCAGAAATGTTTCCCAAAGTAACTAGGTAGTAGCTATATAAGATAACTTACCAGCGAAACATGTAGTAACAATTTCCTTATATAACATGTAGAGAGGAGCAAGCAAATTTTCTTGATTTTCTTTTTTCTGAAAGGAAAATAAAATTCAAAGAAGCTCACATGCAATTTGAATATGTTGCAGACAAGTGGTTAAAATAACCGTTCAATTGAACGGCTGGCTACTTAATTGAACGGATCGGATGATTACCACTTGGCTGCGACATATACATATTTGTGTGTTGTGCATGAAGTAAATAAATGGATTTTAAGATATTTTTTATAAATATAAGCAGGTTCGTAGAATAACGCTAATTGACAGTGAATTTTTTGCAACTCTATTTTTTAACAAGTAGATATACTCGTATATTGGTCATGCTTAGTATGACAAAGTCGTGTCTCATAAATTGCTAGTTAATTTTTTGTATCGTTTGATTATCCTTGAAACATAACATTGTCAATAATATGACCCAGTTATACTAGGCTCTTATCAAATACGAGGATGTAGTTTCCGCTGCCGGTTCATTTTACGCAATGAAATTGAAGAGATTTATTAGTTGCTTTTACCTAAGTGCTGTAAAATAAAAAGTAATTCGACTATTTAAATTGACTATACCAAAATAGTGTACTTTTATCGCTTAATATTACTTTTTAAATTTATTATTTAACTGTACTTATGTCTTTGAATTTTCATTCCATAATACTTGCCAGAGTATACTAGGCGTGTTTGTTGTTTATATGGTTTATTTTTAAGATGTTTGTTACTGCAATGTAATAAAATTTAACCTTAAATAAGTAAAGTGAACCTTATTAAAAGTTTTTGTTTAAACTTACTACCAAGTACCACATTTTGTACATTATGATTCTAAATGAAATTTTAATGATTTTATTTCAAAATCTTACCACAACAACCACTGTTATTAGCTATACCCACGGTTTATATCGTACAGTTTGTTTTTACCTACATCCTTGTTCGTGTGTTCCTATTGGTGCACAATGTAGAAAGAGATGAAATGAAACGGCTGGATGATGAAAATTAAAAAAAAACAATGCGAAAGAACAGCGGCCCTCGTATGTAATTGACGTTCAGGTACCAGGCGATTATAAGCAGTAAGAATTCTACAAATTCTTTCGTGAAATGCAAGTTTTAGAGCATGACGAGATTGCGGCATTTGTCTGCTGAGCGTGGCATACGTATATTAGGGTGGCATGAAGCAGTAGAAATATCATAGAATAGCATTGCGAAGACTTTGTATGGGTAAATAATACACTCACTCATTACAATGCGCTGAGAGATTTCATAGGGAGCAGACGTTTCATGAAACTGCGTTTTTCCTTCGAAAGCGATGATATAAGCCCATCGTTTGGAAATAGAGACTCCCAATTACCAGGCGATCAGGAGATAAGAAGGGTTTAGATTACCAAAGCGTAGTGTATTATTTGTATTTACACTTTGTATTAATGGCAAATTTAAAATCACATGTTTAGTATTTCTTTACATTAATAAACATAAATATATTAATAAATTAATATTATGTAAACTAATCAAATGTTACTATTAATTATGTATTAAGTTGTTGAAAATCAACAAAAAACTAAGCCAGTGGTCAGTGTATCATGCGGAGCATAGCGACTTTGACAGCCGAGACCAAGCCGAGACCCATTATTAGGAAAATTTCAGTAGATCCAGACTTTCTTTAATCCACAATGACGCATTATTACAACTTTTCCGATTAAGATTGTATGCCTATAGCCAAGCATTTTACTTTACATGTCCTAAGCTCTATTATAAGCCTCTAATTTACAAATTCTATATGTAAAAACGTGGCTTGGACTTTTTGCTAACATAACATAGGCGTAAGGTTACTACGGTTAAAATTAAAGTGCAATAAATAAATAGTTCTTGTCAAGCGATATTAGCCAAGGCTCATGACGTAACTATAATAGTACTATATCAGGAGTTCATAACGTAGTAACAGGTAAAACTGTATATACGTTGATTAAAATCGAATACGATCATACATAACACTATAGTAGCCATTCTAATTTCATACGTACGATTATACGGCCACATTGATCGAAGGAAGGCGGTCTTCTAGTGTTAATGCTGCGAAAGTACTCTTGCCAGCGTCGGATGCACTCTGTGGTGTCTTGTTGGTTACCCCATATTCCTTGTGTGTACGTGAAATAAACAGCACCTACTAGGATTCCAGCCTGTAATGAGACAGTGAAAAGTTACAATGAATACTAACAAGGCTGAAGTTCATAGGAGGTTTATTATTGTGTGTCTACAACAAATATTTTATTGAAATGCTTGCTGGTTGGTAAATAGAAATAAGTTAAGCCGAATGACAAAGCGGAACATAATTAGTACTAGGGAAACAGAACATTGATAGAGTATTGTACTAACTTTGACAGCATACATGAGCTTTCCATGTGGATAATATGGCACCGGTATTTTTGTGACAGTTTTTTTACCACTTTTTCTTAAGTTGTACTCCTCTTTAGTACAAACTTTGATACAGGTGGGACGGATAGGAAGTTCTGAAAGTAAAAAGAGTCAATGTTCCGAATTATGTTTTTCATTTTGGGGTTTAAAGCATAATCTTTTTTTCGAATTTAGCTATTTACCAAATAACGATTCAAATTTTTCTCGCCCTCATAAAAACCTTCTTTGGACTATTAAAGATAACTAAAAATAATGTATCCAATCATCATAAGTGATACGTTTTTCAGTAAATGATTATACAAAATTTTGGACGTATCAGGGTTTGTTAAAAACATTAATTTGTACGCAATAATAAACCCTTTTAAATTTATTATATCCACTATCTATAAGTAGATATAGGAAATCGTGTGGAAAACTTGTAACAAATTCGACTCATCTACCGTTCCCTACGAAAATATTTTGAGCAACCAAGAAACATTACATAATTTGTAACATTCACTAGGACAGCAGGGGTTGTGGGGTGGTAGAAAGAGTAAAATATTATTATGCGCGATTACATCGGGTTTCGCGAATTCTGTCCTTTTCTAACAAACAGTAGGCTTCTGTTAGAAAGGAATAGTATCCCAAACATTTTGAATACTTTTGTAGTAATAATTTTATAACATTTAATACCTTAATACCTACATTTAATACCTCTAAAAAATTACGAACGACACAATTGGAACAAATCTTGAAACTTATAACTATCAGTCGTTATGAAATAATAAACATCAAAGATTCAGATAAAGCTTCTGCAAACAACAGGAGCTTTTATCTTAAATAATTCTAATGAAATGTTTATGTATTCTGCAATCAATGAATTTATTACAAAAAAACTTGAGTTCAATAACATTTTATACACACTATCAAATCCAGTGATTGTGTAATAGCATACGAGTAAGATAAAATATGTATATTAGATAATACTGCAGAAAGGCATGGTTTGGAGTTAGCTTTTGTTTTAGATCAACTAGTAGGAAAAGCCCATTTTGAGGTGAGAGATAGATAGAAAAATAAACGATTAATTTCTTGCCAATATACACACACATTGCTTTATTAGTGCCTGTGATCGTATATCTTTCACAGTTAATCAACGAACCAATAGAATAAATTTGAAGAAATGAAATGTGGCTATAATAATAATTAGTTAATTTAAAGTGGAAAAAATACGTAGAATTTTGCCGAATACAAAGTTTAGGATACTATTTACATATAGTTTTCGGTTTCATAGTCCTGGTGTTATGTATAATAGTAAAGTAAGTAATAAAATTAGGTACCTACCTGGTATTTGAGAGCAGTCTATTCTTTGCGCAGGGCTACATTTATCATATAATTGCATATCTGGTTTTGGATATTTAACATGTTTCGCTAAATTGATTGTTCGGCACGCTTCGCACCGTATGCGGTCGGCTTTGAGATTTTCACACATATTAATTTGAACATGTAATCTTAGAAATTACGATAAAAACAAGGAATTTTTAACTACAGTAACGTTCACAGAGGATTTGATGTTTGGTTATATATTGACAGTTATGTGTTACATATGTCAAGAAGATAATAGGTGTCTGGCCAGTTTTATTATGATGTATAAGCATAGAGCTACTAGTCTCTATTATAGTATTTACAAATCAGCGATGCGATTTTTATCAATATACAGAGTGATTCAAGAGGTAGGTATATGTACACGCGGGCGAAATCGCTGGCTGAAAGCTAGACTTATAAGTAAGGTACTGTTTGTTCAAGAGTGTGTGTATTCTATTATGTTGCGATTTGCAGATTTCAAATGGGGTAACGATATGCTAAGACCGACCTAGCAAACCATATACCCCCATTTTGTAAATCTTAAATGTCTGTCATAAGAAAATTCCATAAGACACGATTTATGTTTTTGATTTTCTTCATAGGATTTATAATAAATATGACAATGTGTATTGGTAATGAGTGAGAAGGACATTAATAGAGCAGCGTTCGCGGCACTCGTGCGCGGATGTGATAAGCCCACGCCCGCCATGTCCGGTGGTTGTCCGATGGTAGAAGCTTCCGCGCCTTGACTATCCTAGATAACAAATTGCGAAATCTTGCCGAAATTTGTGCCCTTGCTACTCTCAGTCCCACGCTTAAGGGATATAGGAAACTAATGCGGAATCATTAATATTATAGTAAATGTAAAACACTTTCTAAATCTTTATGAATATCAAAAATTTTAACCGGAGGTCCGGAGCCGGAGGTTAAGGCTCCCCCGACTGCAATGATGATTTTGTTTAGCACATCTAATTTTTAATTTAAAGATTATTTTTATACTTTTTAAAGTGAACATTTGAGTCGGAAGTTTGTAAAATATATTTTTTATTTCATATAACACTAAAAAATATCTTACAATGATTTTCATAGAAGAAACTAACGATAAAAGGACTTGTACTGACTGTAAGTACAAATATTAAAAAGATAGCTACTTCATCTTGGAAGAGTATTGTCGCTCCTAATAAACTAGTTATCCGATTTTCGTAAAACATAACTATGAATCACCGTGATGAACAAGGCTTTCGAATAATATACCGCACTCAAATCGGTTTATCAATTTAGGAGCTATAGCACAAACAGCCAGACACGTCAACCTTATGAGACCCCTCTTTTTGCGTCGGGGTTTAAAAATAGGTTTTCATACGCATACAGTTACTTTTCTACAGATTTTAAAAGAGGCTCTAAAACTTATCATAACTGTATTTATTACCAATCATCTGGTGTGGTGAGTAAATAAAATGACTCCATATTCAAACTTCCTACCAACGGGATATTCCTATCACGTCACATAAAGTGTTTATTGTCGTGACGATAAATTGTAATCATTATTTGTACCAAATTTAGCACCCATTGCCGCTAAATATTAATGAGGTTTTTTATATTGTACTAACCACTCGCCATGGCTTTGTATTACATGATTTTACGTGTACTGGGTAAGTTTCCAGTCAAACCCAAATTATTTTGTGAACCTCTTACACAGAATAATACAATTAGGTATCTATGCTATAGAATTTCATGCTTAAATTATAATTTCATGACATTACAGGTTTGTTAGTATATATGATAGAGTCGTATAAGGGGTACTATTTTAGGGTTTGTGGGAAATGTTTTCTATTTTTAAGGTAAGTAGAGTTATTTCATTCGTATTTTTTTATGATACCTGAAAACATTATAATAATAATGTTTTAAAAATTTTAGACATTATACTTTTATTTTTGTGGATGTACTACTATTTCAATCACTTAAAGAACAATACTATGTTATGTAAACGTTTCATGTGCTTAAAATCATTTTCGTATGATAATAATTGTTTCCTAGAAATTAAAAAAAGGTTTTGTAAAAGTTATCTATCAAATCTTGTTTGAAAAAAAAAGTTATATTACTTTTAAATGTCGAAATTATGAAGATGCGCGAAGCTTTGCAAGTTCATTGAGTGGCGGTTTTCATGAATGGCAGTGGTGGGGGCGGGTTGTGCGGCCACTGAGCCGGCGCCGGAGGCTGCGTAGTGTTCCCGCACTCATCGTCGACGCGCCTGCGTCACAGCACCGACCTACACGCGATCGCGCGGGAGATTCAAATTTAGAAACTCCTTTTTTTATTTTAATTTTGACATTCGAACTTTTGCTTTTGTGTTTGAGTCTTTAGTGGTGTTTGTGTTTCTATTTTTTTATTCGAGGACTAGGGGTGATTTTGGGCATGCTGCATTAGAGATGGGGCTCTGTAACTTAAGGTAAGTTGCATAGTATTAATAAATGTTCCACGATAAAACAATGTTTTACGTCAAAAATAGATTTTTTAAGTTCTTCGGGTTATAAATATTAATTTCACAATATCAGCTACTTAAAACCGCTTGCGCCCTATACTGCCTCTACATTTTTCGAAGTAGGTAGAAATCATCTCATTATTTTCAATAGTTTTTGTAGGTATTTTAACAATGTAATCTCGATTTTATAATTAAAACTTAGATTTTTCGTTTATATGTATACCTTATTTACGCAAAAATAGAAAATATTTTGTAGATAAGTAAAGACAATAATGGTGCAGGTATTTTTGTTGCTCTACATTTTTGTTACCCAATTTTACATGATATCAATACATGTTTTATGTGTCGATTTTCTTAAAAGGTTAATTTCTTTGTTACACGATTGTTGATTTAGAAGAGCTTGATGGAGCAGTAGTTAGCGGGCTCGGTTTGCGATGCTGAAGTTAAGAAACCGTTCATAGGATGGCTGGCCAATTTATAATCTCGAGCGCCCTTTTGCTTCGGAAAGCACGTTAAGCCGTTGGTCCCAGCTCCATCTGCAGTTAGCTAACACCCACTAATCCTCACCGGGCCTGCGTGGTGGGCCCCTATTCGATTCGGTTCCTTCCAAAGAAAAGCCTGTTCCCCAGCTGTGGGAAAATAAAAAGGCTGATGATGATTTAGAATGTTAATCGGTTTTTAAATATTGCTCACGTAAGTACAATCTCGTAGCTGTATATTTGCAAACATTTATTATCAAGGCGCCATAAGTAAAAAAAGTTTTTTTTTCTTTTCGAGCTTTAATAACAATATGGAAAGCTTTTGGGGATGAAATTATACAGTATTGAATAACACATATATTTCCCTAAAAATATATACCTACTTAGTTTCATTTTTTTTTATAACAGTATCAGTTCTGTGACACTAAAGCTTTCGTTTCATACAAGCCCTATATCTTAAAAAATCGAATAGTTGCTTGCGGCATCTTACGTGATTTTCAAAAATATTTATTTTTTGTGAAACCTTTGTTTTTATAAAATGATATGAAGTATATAGCGAATAGTGACAAGTTGCATCCTTTGTTTAATTTTTCTATAATGTGTATGTATGTATGTCATAAATAAGAAGAATATTTTCCCAAATCTATTGTTAATTAAAAATATCCAATCGTAAAATAGCTATATTCTGTTAAAGATAAGTGACCAAACCATATAAAAATATCAGATTTCAAATTGGTTTAATATATATATTTTTAAATTATCCATATTTTTTTTTATTTTTATTTCTACTTATTTTATGAGTGACTCCTTGTAAAGTGTTTACATATGGAATAGTTATATGAATGAGCCCTTTGAACTTGCGGCTATTTTAAGATCACATATGAGTTATTTATTAGACAGTTGAATGTCAAACCCTCGGATCGGGATTGACAGTAGCTCCTTGATTTACGACATGGATAGTTTACATTAAAGTACATACAATTTAATGACGACCGTGATCTTTACAGTAACAGTATTTATACCTATGTTACTCTTTTCAGAGTTATAAGAACTTACCTTAAAGTTCCTAAGTATATAAGTACTTACGTAAAGGACTTTGAACGTTATTATATATGTAATTAAAGCGTCAGTTCAGCATAAAAGCTGAATCGACAGAAATTCTAATGTGTGGTTCCTGAGATAGGCTTTTTAAAATGTTGCTATTTTAAAAATGGTGTATTACAGAGAGTTAAAATATTGTAAAATATTTTATTAAGAGGCCAGTCGGTGTGAGCTTCAAAGCTCTCCCAATAAATAAAAAAATAAACAAAGTAACCTCAAAGTTCTTTGTGCCATTAATTAATTGAATTTGCCTATAGATAATAGTTATAGAATTTTCACAATGTATTTATATACTGATACCATAGATTGACTCTCGCACAAATATAAATTGCCGCCAAAATAATCGCACAAAGAACATTACAGGTAAATTGCGGGTAATTACTTGAAGGTACCAATTTTGTAGTTAAGCTTCACCTCCATACGATGGCATGCACAAACGAGGTGTCATCGAACCCTGCACCGGCTGGGCACTTTAAAAATGATCCAAACAACACCCCGACTAACGACGACGTGCGCAATTCACTAAATTACTATACGTTGTGTGGCGCCATCCTAATATTTACGAATACTGCTCTAATCAAACTTATTAACATTAAGAATATGGAGCATACAGATGAATTATTTATGTCTCTTTTTCTATTTAGCTAATGAGCGTAGATCATAAACTGGTAACTTAAGCAAGATTTTGATTTACAGGCTGTTTGAAAATCTAAAACTAACAATTTTTATCAGTGTTTCCAGATCCTAAATTTTAAATGACAGTGTTTTCAGTTAAAAACTCCTCTGTTTTGTTCTTATTATTAATTCACTGAAGTTGAACATTGAACGAAAGTATTATATTTTTAGAATTTAAGTTATTGAAAATTGATTATCATTCATATACTGCATTTTATAATTACAGTATACAGTAGAAAAATGTCTAGGTAAAACGTTAATTTCGAGAAAATCTTAAACTTATTTCTATGGAAAATAAGAAAAACGTAAACTTTTTTGTGCTAAAAATTCAAAAAGAATAAGGTGGTTGTGAAATTCATATTTGAAGTCACATTTAAGAGATGTTAAAACATTCTATTCTCGAACGGCAAAAGTTGATGAAAAATTCTAAGTGGGCATATATAGGCTTCCTAGTCTTTATCGCAACGAAATCAAATAATATCTTCATCAATATCAGAGATAATATGTATCTTCATCAATATGAGAGTTCAGTTTTTTTTTCTTAGTTCTTTGTAAACATTTAATTTTCCATGTTTGGTTTCCATATATACAATGTATGTTATAATGACTAGACGTGCGAGTCCTTAAAACACACGATCAAAAAACCATAACACTGCGCGTGCGCCGAGATCAAAATCTCACGCAAATTGGTGCGCCTGTCATGTCAGCCACCAGAAAGGGGAGTCATGGAGGGGAGGGCAGTACCTCGTAAATCTCGCCGCACACGAACTGGATCCTCGAGACACAAAAAATAAAATATAAAAAGCATTAATAAAAGACTCGAGCGAGATTAAAACTAAGACTATTGTTCCTTTTATCCTGCGTCCTGCCGATTCGAGAGTAGAAATTCTCTCAGTTCATGCATAAATTCATTCTCGGTTTTGTGGCAAGAACCTCGTATAATTAAACGCTTAGAAGATTTAGATAAGGGCTGAAAGCCTTTCACTGAGCAACCAATGTAAATCATAATCTAATGTTTCAGTTTTAAAGTTCCATTCGGTTTGTGGGTAAGTGTAAGTCGTTGAAAACGGCAGCGTTAGGATGTCGCGCACGCAATCCTTAGTGATTTCGCTTTCAATTTGGAGGCTTGTTGTGTTTTTGCGCAGTCCCGTTCTTGTAATTTTCTTTAGTCGTTGTGCTTTTGAGCTTTGAGCACCGTTAGGCAAGTAAAAGCTCGGACCTTCCATGAAATAAGTAACAAATATAGTACAGTATACACATTGTCATTACAGTTTGAGGTATGTAATGTAAGTTTTAAATTATGTACAGCTATTCCAACATAGTTAAAAATAAATAAAAGTTCATAAATTCATAGTTTATGAATAAAGGAATACTGTTATGTTAATTGACGATTTATAGGCAGCGGATTATTGAAAAGCTCGGGAAACTTTAAATGGCATACTGTTTTCGGAAATTAATTAATGACAAAATAAAAATGCATTTTAGTAAAATGTTATTTAAAAATAAAAATCTTTTATTTAATATAATATTTTGAATAGCATAAGGCATAAATACATTATAAAAAAAATATTAAAAGTGTTTTTAGAAATGCGAATTGAGGTTATTGTTTATATCAGAAAAAGTTACACACATCCAATTGATAGACGTTCTTGTAAATGATTGTGAGAATTTTTAACAATATAAACCAGGTCAACTAGAACTGAAAATAATTAGGATCATTCATTTAAGTGGTCGGCAAGTTTGAATACAAAAGTAAATTATTCAATGTAATCTTTTGTGTCGCTGCAGCTTTCTCCTGTTTGTAATGTAGAAAAATTATTTGGATTCCGTTTTAAATATCAACGTAGAAAAATATAGGTTATAAATTGCAGTAATATTTGTAGGCGCAAGTTAGAGGCAGTTGTCACTGAGAGGCGACGATGACTACATAGAAACCGCTTTTATATGTACATGTAGTCTAGACTTCAAGACTAGATTTAAGCACTAACATACCTCTCGCTACTTATATTAGCCTAGTACTTCTAGGTACAAACGATAGCTAGTCTAGACTGCGCGACGACGTTGAAAGGATAGGCAACAATGACGGCGACGTCTGACGCTCAACACTAGTGAGATCGTGCGGCGCTCGTCATAGACAATTATAGATCTATGAGGAAAGAATGAAACTTCGTACTATTTTTGAAAGTATTTTAAATTCATAATGTATTTTTAAGAAAAAATTATAATGCGTTTTTTGTTTTTAATCTTCAAAAGTTTGATTTGTAAAAAAAATAATTTTTCGTTTCCCGCTGTCTCTACGCTGAGATCTTTGAAACTAGATAATGGATTTTAATGAGTCTTTCATCAATATACAGAGTGATTCAAGTGGAAGGAAATAAATACGAGGATGAAGCCGTTATTGAAAAATAGTTTTGCTTTATTTTTACGTTCTGAATCTTCTCGAGACCTTAAATTTAAGGAATATTTTAAAATAAATCGCTGTTCGCGACTTTTGTTTATTAAACGATTAATTTTTATTCTATAGATTTTGGGTTCGAGTTTATGATCTTATATTTTATGATCGAATGAATATAATTTATATACTTTGGTATTTGATTTATTTTTATGCGATAACATACAAACGTACTTGCTGTAGAATAAAACTGCCTGCTTAAAATTTACAAAAAACAATCAGGATATCTTGTTTAGGTATTTCTAAAAATTTCAAAAGTT